ACACACACACACACACACACACACACACACACACACACACACACACAGACAATATTCTGGCCAAATTGTACTAAAAGCTGTTTTCCTGAACTTGACACTCCATCTCTCCCACTCAGTGCATTCACACCAATCATCCCATCCATTTGGAATACACACTTCGTCACATCTGTCCACTATCTTCCTATATCTCTTCTCTCTTTCTCAGCTAAATTCTTGAAAAATCTACACTTAGTACCTCCATTTCTTCTCTCATCCAATCAGTTACTAAGTCTTGTAATTTTTTCTATCTCTCTTACATCCGTCCCCGTTTCTTCACTTTACCACCCTAGTTCAGGCCCTCATTACCTCTCTCCTAAATTGTCACAGTAGCTTTCTAATTGGACTTTTTACCTCTGGTCTCCCTCTCCCCGCCAACTCCAATCCATCCTCCCCATAGCTGCCCAGGTCTGACTATGTCACGTTCCTCCCCACAGTAGATTCCAATTGTCCCCTAATACCTCTAGGATCAAGTAGAAACTCCTCAGTTTGGCCTTTAAAGCACAGGGTCACACAGCTAGTAAGTGTTATGTGTCTGAGGCCGGATTTGAACTCAGGTCCTCCTGACTTCAGGACTGGTGTTCAATCCACTGCACCACCTAGCTGCCCCCCACTGCACCTTTTACAGTGCCTAGTATGTTATAGAGGTTTAAAGGAGAATTGTGGAATTGAATTGAATCTGTAAAACTGAAATGGTTGGTCTGGGTGATTTCTGTGGTCCCTTCCTGCTCTGTTTCCTATCATGCTATATGGCAAGTAGGGAGTATCAAGGCAGTATTTGAGTGATAGTAGTCAGGCAGGCTTAAGATATTTACTCAGCAAGCAATCATTTGATGCTCGCTATGGGCTCCTGGGGGAGAGAGAATGCTAAAGAGGAGATGTAGCCTATCCTCATGGAACTTACAGTCTAGCTAGAAAGACCAAACATATATGCAAACTAGGGAAAAAAAAAGGGAAAAAAATCACAAAACTACCCTATAGTAGATTTATAACAATACTAACTAGACACTAGACAAATGCAAGGGAGAGGTAGAATAAGGCAGGAATTAGGATAGGGGATTGTCACCCAAGCTGGATCTGTGACTTGCAGTCAGAGCGTTGCCCAGAACATGGGAGGTTAAGGACTTTCCCAGGATCACAGGATCACATAGCCTGGGACTTGAACCTAGATCTGTCTGGTCGTAGGGTCAGCTCTCTGTTTACCAGACCATGCTGCCTTTGACAGTGTGGAGCCAGGGGAGCTGGCTCACTTCCTATCTGACCTTGGCAAGTCCCTTCACCTCCCTGAGTCCCAGTTTCTCTGTTAAAAAAAAAAAGGTGGGGGGCAGCTAGGTGGCGCAGTGGGTAGAATACTGGCCCTGAAGTCAGGAGGCCCTGAGTTCAAATCTGACCTCAGACCAAACACTCGACACTTACTAGTTGTGTGACCCTGGGCAAGTCACTTAGTCCCAATTGCCTAAAAAAAGAAAAAAGAAAAAAAAAGACGAGGGGTGGGGTGGGGGGTGGAATTGGAATGTATGGCCTCTGAAGGCCCTCCTAGTTCTGGATCTATGATTGTAAATATAAAATAATTTCCAGGGAAGGCACTAGCAACTAAGGGATCGCACCCAGTTAGGAACGTCTTCTTGAAGGCGAATGAGTCTTAAAGCAAGTCTCGGAAGGAATGATAAGTATGAATTGGTAGGGAGGTAGTAGCAGGGCAGCCCCAGGGAGAGGCATTTGTAGGTGCCTTTAACAGCCCATCTGGTGGGAGTGACAGAGCAGGGGAGGCTTGGGGAGGCTTTTACACACAGTTCTTTGTATGCTTTTTCTTTAGGAAAGAGGAAAGTACATTACCTCTTCCCTGATGGAAAGGAGATGGCTGAAGAGTATGATGTAAAAACCAGTGGACTACTAGGTAAGTGAAAGGATCTCACCTAGGCAGAGTGAGCAGATAGGACTTGTGGAAACCATAGAATCAGCTTCTCCCTTGGTTCTGAGTTGGATCTCAGGATCAGGTTCTCCTAGAAGAGATTGAAACTGTTGGGGCAAGCTTACCAGCAATTCCCCAAGAACTCCAGGCTAACCTATTCTTTTTTTTTTTTTTTTTTTGTTTGGCTAGGCAATGGGGTTAAGTAACTTGCCCAGGGTCACACAGCTAGTGAGCGTTATGTGTCTGAGGCCAGATTTGAACTCAGGTCCTCCTGACTTCAGGGCCAGTACTCTATCCACTGCGCCACCCAGCTGCCCCCAGAGTAACCTATTCTTAAGCAAAATGGTGCCTAGGGTCAGAGCAGGGTACAAACTCTGTCTTTTGGAAAACCCCAGGGAGCTTTTGGAAAGGGGCAGCCAGGGCCTCTCATTTTCCTGGTCTGAAAACCAAATCTCAGACAGTCCCATTAAGATAACTAGCTTAGGTATGGCTATTGTATTAAAGTCTGACTCAGGAAAGGCTCCATTTGGTCTGATTCTCCTGTGGTGGCTTTATTTCCAGGGCAGAGCAATGACTGTGTAGCCTTCCCACTTTCACCAATTAATCTTAATTCCTCTACCTCCTCCTCTCCAAGAACAGGCTTATGAATACAGTTTAATGATCTGATTTCTAGGGATTACTTGATTTAGCCAATTTCTCTTCTGGGCATGCATATCCATATTAACTAGTGAGTTGAATCCTAGAGTTCCTGTGCTGTCAATGTTTGACCTGGAGACTCAGCCTGTCAGCATTGGGAGTTGGCAGTTTGTTTCTGATATCAGCCCCTTTATTAAGTTCTATCTGAAAATGCTAAGACCAGTGATGGAACCACAGGATGGGTTATTTTCTTCCTGGGTCTGATCGACAGCCAGTATTGGATGGGGAATTTCTTTTCCCTTTTCTGACAGCTCATAAATGTCCTGAGTCAACACAGTGGATTAAACTGACTTGTGTTCTATTCCTCAGTCTTAAAGTATGTGTTCTGCGCATGTTCAGACCGAGCACAAAGTGTGGCTCCCTCCTTATTATGAACAGCTTGGGCTCTGGTCCCAATTGGTTTAGTCTGCTGCTATTAAAAATCTTGATGTGTTTAGCATGTGACACCAGTTCAGTGGAAACCAACACAGTAGTAATATCCTCACAATGCATTGTAATTTATAGCACTCCCTAGGGGTGATAGCCTTGGAATGCCTAACTGGAGAGAACATATGAAAGCGAAAGGTCACGTGACCTGCCCACTGCCAGGCCAGTCTCCATACCACTCTCCCAGCTCCAGCTCTTGCCTTCTGTCTCCTCCATGTGGAGCAAATCAAGAAGCTGTAACTGCAGCAAATGTACAGATCCCAGGTCCCTGCTTTACTTGGATGTGAGATGAAAATGTGGCCCAATTTGAGGTCAATTAAGTCATGGTATTTTAGGCCCATCGTGTATCATTACTCATATTGCAAGGTAGGGAAAGGAATGGGTGCCCAGACTCATACTTCTCAAAGCAGAAAAGGAAAACCAGAGCCAGAAGAGTAAAGCTTATCCAGAAAGTCATTGGGAAACCAAGTAGATTCGAGTCCAGCATTCTTGACTCTCAGACCCCCTTTCTTCATACTTCACATTTTTCTCCCATCCCTTCCATCCCTCAAAGGCCTCGTAGGTTTTATAGCTGCATGGTGCCCCAGATCTCTGGCCAACCCCAGGGCAGCTGAGACTGCCTCTTAGTCACTCAGGGTCAGACCACCTCCCTTCCCTCCCAGGGCACTGTTTGTTGCCTTTCAGCTTGAAAATCCCAACAAACTCATGAGCTAGGGTGACACTGGTTCACAGGACCAATGAAATTCGATATGGAAAGTAGGTGCTATGACAGTAAATGAGACCTTTCCTCTTCTCCTCAGCTTCTTATGCAGATTTGATAACAAGCCAGGCTAGTTTTCTGGCAGAAATACCAGAAAGTAATTGATGACGTTTGCCTGAGAGAAGGTTTGTCTGTGTTAAGAACCTTTATATTGATTTCTACCCCCTTTACCCTTTTTACTTCTATCCTTCCTACCTCCCACTCCCCAGGAATGTAAGTGGTCTTTATTCACTGAGGGAAAAGTGAATATCCGTGTCACAAAGATCAGAAATCCACAAAGAGGGCCTGACTGCAGGACAGATCTCTGTGCTTGATTACATTCATTTACTGGCTTACTCTGCCTTGGGATCTGACCACCAACCTAACCAGCCCAGGCTGTCTGCAGAGAATTTTGAGCATCTTCAACCCCAAGCATCTCACCAGCTTTATAAATGACCCATGCGCTTCACTTCAGCCTCCTCAGGGACAGGATGTAGCAGCTGTTTAATAGTCATACAGCAGCACAGCAGAGTTTTCGGGAAGAAAAGAAGAATCCTGTCTCCAGTTTACACTGCAGGGAGTATGTAAGAACATGGAATGTAATTATCCACATTGGAAATAGGCCAGGCTTTGGAACTTTGGGGGAAAAGACTTTGGGGACTGCCACTTTCTATCCCACCTGAATGGTGGAGCCATCAGTAGTCAGTTTAATCCTTTAGATTGGGTCATGCCAACTCTAGAGAAAGATCTGGACACCCCACCTCCCCCTCACCCACGCACCCTTGGCTCTAAATCACTTGCATCTTTCTCCTCAGACTCTTTGAGGTTCATTGAAAGTCTCCCTTCCAAGGACTGGCCCTGCCTTTGCTGGGGAGCGGCCTTGAACACACTGGTTTGGCTTTAACATATAATCAAATCAGGGTGACAGCAGGTGGAAAACATTCTCTTATTGCTGTAGAAACTGTCCTTGAATTCAGGAATAAAGAGGGGCAAAGGGACGGGAAGATAAAGTGTCTATATGTGCACATGTATTCATGGAGAGGATGAGGACTTTTCTGGAGTCATTCCTACACCCTGTTGTTGGTGGAAGGAGGCAGTGACGTCCTACTGATTTGTAGCAATTGCTTTCATTCTTTTGGTGAAAAAGGCTTGTTTGGGAAAGAGACAAGGGAAGCCACTCGGAACTCTGAGTTCCAGTCACAAGTAGCTTTTGGGTCAGTATTGAAGAGACCAGGGTGCTGTGTAGCACGAGAACCATGAGAACATGATATTCTCTGAAGCAAAATCAAGAAGAGTAGGTGGGAAATCCCAGGTTGCAATGTACTATGAGACTGACTGTCTAACATAGCTCATAATTACAGTAGCGTTGACTCTTTCTAGCATTGTCAGGGAATGCTCCCTATAAGGGAGTGTTATTTTCCACGTAACTGCCACCTCGATGCCAAAATTGTTTTCTTTTAAATTAAAATTTTTTTTATGGAAATATTTATCAAGTGTAATTCCCTATTTTATTTAGCAGTATAGTGAACTTTTTCTTGAAAACTCAAGGTCAAGAAATCAGCATTCTGACTCCAACTTTGCCAGTGTCCAATGACCATGGGCAAGTTATTTAGCCTCTCTTGGCTTTAGTTATTCTTTGTAATCTTTCTTTGAGTTGGGAGTGGTATATATGAGGAGATTTGATTGAGAGGAGGAAAGAAGTTGAAGGATGAGACTTCAGCTTCTTCATTTACAAAATGAGGAATTTAGATTGGATCAGATTATAGGACTATAGATTTAGAGCGCGAAGGGACACCAAAGGTCATGGAACCTTATTTTACAGGTGAGGAAACTGAGGCACAGAAAGGTTAAGTGACTTATCTGAGGTCTCATAGGGAGTAAGTGAGCTGGACTTGGATTTGAACTCAGGTCCTCCAATAACAAGTCTTTCTTTTTTTAATAGTATTTTCTTTTCTTTTTTTTAATAGTATTTTATTTTTCTACCCTCTTTGCCCTTTTTTTTATTTACCTTTTTTTAAGAGACACAGAGAGAGAGATTTGTGTATTTGAATCCCCAACACTCATCACATATACGTAGATACTGATATTAATCATGGCCCCTGCCTTAAAGGAGTTTGTATTCTAATGCAGAAGATAAGAGGCAAATAGCTATATGTGTGTGTGTGTATCTCTACATACCTACATACATATATGTGCACATATATGTATACACATAAGCATATGTGTATCTATACACATATGTATAGATACATATATAAATGGGTATATACATACACCCACACACATATGTTTAAATGGAAGGCAATTTCAGAAGGAAGGGACCAGAGTGTAGAGGGTTGGGACCAGGTCTCTTTCAGTAGGTGAGATTTAAGTTGTATATTAAAGGAAGGCAGGGAAGCTAAATGTTGGGGAGTGAGGAAAGAAAGCATTTCAGGCTTGGAGAAAGGACAGTGTAAATGCATGGAGTCAGTAGATGGAGTTGTATGTTTAAGGAACAGCAAGTAGGGCTATGTAGCTAGAATGAAGGGATGTAGCTGTTTAGCTAAAATGCACGAAGTATAAGAAAACCAGAAAAGTTGGGAAGGGCTATAAATGGCAAACAATTTTCTATTTGCTTTTGGATGGAATAGGGAGCCAATGTAGTTTATTGAAACAGAAGTGAGAGGGAGTGTCATTGTTTAAAATGTTCTTTAGAAAAATTACTTTGGTACAGAGTTCACATATATGTACATCTGATCAGTGTCAGCCTTGGGCTTTTAACAATCTTTGACCAATTTGTTCACTGTGAAAAAAATTATCAACTTCAGAAATACAGATTGGAAGAAGTAGGTCAAGAAGTTGCAGAGTGGCAGATTTAGGCTTGATATAAAAATAAAAACACAAATAATGTTTTCTAAAAATGGAAGAGATTACTGTGAAAGATAGATGATTTCCCCATTCTAAAAGTCTTTGATCAAAAGCTAGATGACCATTGTTTGGGGTTATTATAGAAGGGATTACTACTCAGATATGAATTGGATGAGATATTCTTTGAGGTCCCTGCTAGCTCTGATATTTGTGATTCTGATTCTGAATGAGACTAATTCTCACCAAGTCAGTAGTTATGTTGGTCAACCCTAGGCTATAATTCAACATGGCTCAGTCGTGTCAAAGATTCGTATCATTACTCAAGATGTGGATTAGACAAAACACTGTGTTTGGAACCTTATACAATTTATATCATAAATGCTTCAGAGAATCATCTGTACTGGGAATGCAACTGAAAGAAAAATTCTATGAGTGGGGCACAATGGTACACTAGTTTTGTATAAAGCATATCTCTTATATTAATATAAATCTGTAGCTCTTTTTACAGTGAAAAAAAAACTTTTTTCTTTTTTAAATAGTATTTTATTTTTTTCCAATTCCTTGTAAAGACAATTTTAAGTCATTTTTTAATAAAATTTTGAATTCCAAATTTTCTCTCTCCCACCTCCCTAAGACAGTAAGCAATTTGATACAGGTCACATATGTGCAATCATGTAAGACATATTTCCATATTAATCATATTGTGAAAGAAGAAACAGAACAAAAGGGGAAAAAAAACACAAAAAAATTAAGTGAAAATAGTTAGCTTCGATCTGCATTCAGTTCTTCCTCTGGAGGTGAATAGAATTTTTCTTCATGAGTCTTTGGGGATTGTCTTAGATCATAGTATTGCTGAGAAGAGCTAAGTCAATGTTGCTGTTACTGTGTACAATGTTCTCCTAGTTCAGCTCACTTCACTTTGCTTCAGCTCATGTAAGTCTTTCCAGGTTTTTCTGAAATCACCACCTCTACATTTCTTATAGCACAACAGTATTCCATTACATTCATATCCCATAACTTGTTCAGCCATTCCCCAATTGATGGGCATCCCCTCAGTTTCTAATTCTTTGCCACCACAAAAAGAGGTACTATATTTTTGTATTTGTTGGTGCTTTTCCCTTTTTTATGATCTCTTTGGGATACAGACCTAGCAATGGTATTGCTGGATCAAACAGTATGCACAGTTTGATTGCCTTTGGGCCTAGTTCCAAATTGCTTTCCAGAATGGTTGGATCAGTTCACAAGTCCACCAAGAGTGTATTAGTGTTCCAGTTTTCCTATATCCTCTCCAACATTTATCATTTTCCTTTTCTGTCATATTACCCAGTCTGAACTGTGTGATAAGGTACCTCAGAGTTGCTTTAATTTGCATTTATCCAATCAGTAGTGATTTAGAGCATTTTTATGTGACTATAGATAGCTTTGATTTCTTTATCTGGAAACTGCCTGTTCATATTCTTTGTCCATTATCAATTGGAGAATGAGTTGTACTCTTATAAATTTGACTCAGTTCTCAAAACATTTGAGAATGAGGCCTTTATCAGAGATGCTGGCTGTAAAAATTGTTTCCCAGCTTTTTGCTTTCCTTCTAATTTTAATTGAAGTGACTGCTTTTGTAAAAACTTCAAAATTTAATATAATCAAAATTATCCATTTTACATCTTGTAATGTTCTCTATCTATTGTTTGGTCATAAATTCTTCCCTTCTCCATAGATCTGACAGGTAAATTATTCCTTGCTCTCTAGTTTGCCTGTGGTACCACCCTCTGTATCTAAATCACATACCCATTTTGACCTTATCTTGGCATACGGTGTAAGAAGTTGGTCTATACCTAGTTTCTGCCATATTGTTTTCCAGGTTTCCCAGCAGTTTTTGTCAAATAGGGAGTTCTTATCCCAGAACAAGTCTTTCTCTGATACCTCACTGCCTTTCTGTCATGATGACTAGATGATCACTAAGGTCATTCACAGCTTTGACACTTTATTATTTTCTTGTCCTACAGTGATGTCCCTAGGGCCTGTGGAGCTGTAGAGTTGGCCTTGCAGTAGTTGGCTCCAGACTGATTTTGTAGTCCTCATATCTCTTCCATTACCCGCTGTCAGCCGTTGTGTGAGTTGTTGTCATCACTTTGTCTTCTGAGAAGCAGTGTGTCTGCTATTCCTAATCTGTTTTACACATACTAGTCTAGGTAAGGGCCTGAGGGTGACTGCCTTTCCTACAAAGCAAAGTTTGATTCCCTAAAGTGAAATTTTCTTAGGTTGAGGGCTTTCTGTAGGGTTAGTAATGGTTAATTATAAAGGGTTAACCTTCTACGTCTGGATTCCTTCAGCACCAGAGTTACCGTTTTTGATGTTTACTTTTATGTTGAGGATAGGACCCTTTTCTGATGACTCATTTGTTTTCTTTTCTTTCTAGTTAGAAAATGGCGGGTAAAGAATGCTCTGGGAGCTGTGAGCCCATGGCAGACAGAAGTGGGAGAGCCAACACATCCTTGCGGTGGAGTCCTGGGGTCAGAGCTCATCAAGGAAAGCAGTTCTAATGTACGTCTCTCTGGCCAGGTTTTTAATAGGCCAAGATAAAGGTATTCCTATCAAAACTGGGTAGTTTGTTATTCTGGGTTAGGGGCTTTGGACTATAATTTTTTGTCAACAGTAATATCAGGGGCAGAAGAGGTTGGGTGAAGGGCATCTCCCCGTGGGTACAAGAAGTGGGGACATTTGGAGCTGTAATTTTCTCTCCCCATGTTTGGAACACATCATGAATTGGATTGCTCTCCCCAGCCTATCTTCATGCGGAAGGACACAAAAATGAGCTTTCAGTGGCGGATTCGTAATCTTCCCTACCCTAAGGATGTCTACAGTGTCTCTGTGGACCAGAGTGAGCGCTGCCTTATTGTCCGGACCACTAACAAAAAGTAAGTCACATGATGGGTGGGGGGCAGGCAGGCAGGCAGGCTGGTGAGCCTGGTTGTGTGGCCTTAATGAGCAGCCACTGCTTTCAGTTAGGGTTTCTGCCAAGGGGGAAGGAGGACTGAAATCTTTCTGGAGGGAGCATGATAAAGAATTGAAAGGACACAGGATTTAGTCAGAGGGCCTGAGTCCAAGCCATGGTACTGCCATTTAACTGCCCATGTGACCTTAGACAAGCCATTTCACTGTCCTGGGTCTCTCTCTCACCTTCTGTAAAACAAGGGAATTAGACTTTTCAATCTGCAGGGTCACCTGCAGCTCTAAATCTGGATCCTTTGATTTGACGAACCCAAACCCCTTCATAGTCTTGAAACTGTCACAAAGCCAATAAATTGGCTTCCAGGACAGTGTTGCTTGGCAAGCTACTTACAAAGAAACTGGTCTCGACTGCTGGCTTTGTTGTCCCTAGACTTTTGGTGCTATGTATAGCCATAGTTTTGGCTTCTTCTATGATCCCAGGATGATACATCTATTTGTAGCAATAATTTATGACAAGTCTGATCAGTGCTGGTCTGGAGAGTGGGGAACCTGGTTCCCCTCAAAACTGAGGAGCCACCTCATTGAGCACGTCTAGGGAGTTCATATTCTAATGGAAGAGAGAGAGTGTATATAAATCAATATATACAAGATATATGCGAGTAAATGGAAGATAACTTTATAAGGGAAAGCTCAGGCAGGGATAGACTGGGAAAGACCTGCAAAAGGTAGGATTTAAGCAGAGTCTGGAAGGCACCAAAGACCAAGAGTCAGAGGTGAGGAAGGAGAGCATTCTGAGCATGGGAACAGGGAAAGTGTCTAGGCACAGCGACAAGAGATGGGGTCTCAGCAAACAGCCCAATATGGCCAGTCCATAGAGTGCATAGAGGAGGGGTAAGGTATAAGAAGGTTGGCAGAATCTAAGGGGGCCAGATTGTGAGGAGCTTTAAGTGTCAAACACAGGATTTTATGTTTGATCCTGGTGGCAATAGGTAGAGCCACTGGAGTTTATGGAGTGGGTAATGGGGAGGTTACATGGTCAGACCTGTGCTTTAGGGAAATCACGTTGGCATTCGTGTGAACGGTAGGCTGCAGTGGGGAGAGATTTGAAGCATGGACACCATTTAAAAATCTTCTTGCTGTAAGTCTAGGCAAAAAGTGAAAAGGGCCCGAACTCAAGTTGTGGCAGTATGAGCAGAGAAAAGGGTATGTATGTTAACGAGATTGTGAAGGTAAAAATGACAAAATTTGGCCAGTGACTAGCTGTATGAGGTGAATGAGGAATTGAGGGTAACACCGATGTTCTGTAGTTAGGTGACTGAGAGTACCGTTGGTACCCTTGACAGAGATAAGGAGCTGTGGGAGAGGGGAAAGATAATGAGTGCTGTCTTAGACATGGGAAGTTTGAGGTGCCCACAGCAGTCCAATTCAAAGTATCCAGTAGGCATTTGTTGATGCAGGGCTAGATATATTGATGACCTGGGAATCATCAGCATAGAGATGATTGTTGAACCCATGGGAGCTGATGAGGTCACCAAGCGAGATAACAAAGAGAAAAAAAAGGGGGGGAATAAAGAAGGCCCAGAACAGAACCTTCGGAAGTTAGTGGGCACAGTGTGGATGAAGGTCCAGCAAAAGAGACCGAGAATGAGTGGTCAGACAGGTAGGAGAAGTTCAACAGACACCAGGAAAAACTGGAAGAGAGAAAGTAGTCAGGAAGAAAATGTGGCCAATAGTGCCAGATACTACAGAGAGGTCAAGGAGGAGGAGGGCAGAGAGATCCTGCAGTTAAGGAATCTTTGATAACTTTGGAGAAAGCAGTTTCAGTTGAGTGATGAGGTCAGAAGCCAGACTGCAGAGGCTTAGAAGAGAGTGAAGGGAGAGAAAATTGGAAGCACTGAGTGCAGATGGATTTTTCAAGGGTTTTAACTGAGAAGGAGAGGAGAGATAGAGGATGATAGGACCTTGTGAAGATTGCTTAAGGATTTTTGTGGCCTCCTCCTGCTCTGTTAGCCCTGGGTGAGTATGGCTACCAGAGGAAGCTGATAGGAGGAGTTCAAGATTAGACTGCGGCAAGGATGTGATCATGGCTAGCACACAGAGACAGGGGATTCCAGAAGAGAGGATAGTTTAGTTACCGAGGTGAGGAACCTGTGGCCTTTATAATAGAATATAAACATTTATTATTAGTATCAATTACTTTTTATTAATTTTAAATAAATTTAATAATAAAATAATATATAATAATAATATTTTTAAAGAATGTGGCCCCTTAATAAAAGGATTTGTTCTGTGAAGTTTGGATTCAGTCAAAAAGCTGTCCTTAAGGACCTAGAGGCCACATGTGGCCGCGAGACCCCAGGTTCCCCACCCCTGTAAATATAGGCTATGTGGTGTCCTTTTGCTATATCTCCATCCACATGTCTCATGGGAAGGGCATATGCCTGTGGTCAGGGACAGGATCCCAAGCTGCTACTCATGCCCTGGCCCTCTCATCTCCTTACACTGCCTGATCCCTCTCTCCTCCCTGCCTTTACCTTAGCAGGCCAAGGGTGGCCAGTTACCTGCCTCACTGGGACATAAGGAGATTAATGAATTAATATCAGGGTTATTGCTGTACATGCAGCCAGTGGTTAGCTCTGTCTATAAATACAAAGTCATAATAATAAAGGGCTTATGTTTATAAAGCACTTTGAAGTCCTCAGATAACAGGCAGTTTATTCCTGTTATTATTCTCATCATTAACAGGAGCCTATGCTTGAAGTGGAATTTAGCAATTCCAGACAATACAGAAATTGCTTTTAGGAAAACAAAACTCTGCTCTTCAGTGAGTATTCCCTGATGTGGAAGGCCCTAGTTCTAACATGGGAACAAAAGTGCTTCTGAAAGCACTGGAATTTGCTGCAGAGCAATTCCTGAAGCCAGCTGCTGCCTCCTTTTTCTCCCCCAGAGGTCACTGTCGAATACAGATATAAAGCAGAAATGTGATTACTCGGGAAAGAAAACTGTTTACAAAAAAAAAAAAAAGTACAGTGTTGAGCCTGCATCTACAGCAGGCCCAGCCATAGGTGGCGCTGTTGGCCAGAAGGAGCTCCTCTCATTGGCCTAGAGCTGACAGAGCTAGAGAAGATTGTCAATGGCTAAGCCTAGATGGAGAATTAGCCCAATTCAGATGAGAAACACAGTGAAGGGAGACACCTCAGGCCTGGAGGGCAGGTCGTCCTTAAAGGGGTCCCCACCCCCAGCCTTTGGCCAGGGGTCCTCTCTGGGCACCAGGAGGGACTCCAGCAGCACCAGAGACATTGTAGATATGACATGCAGAAGCTTCTAGACTCTTGTTTGAAACCGATGGCATTTTCATCCTGCTCTTGGAATGATGGCTTCTATGTATTTACACCTCACTGCTTATGGGGGAGTTCATAGTAAACATGTAATTGTTAACTTTTTCAAAACAGTCTTGTAGCTAAGGCTTCCTTTGACTCTTTCAGTCTGGTGAGGCACACAAGTGCTAGACTGGTATCACTTGGGTCAAACAGGCGAAGTAACCTGCCCAGAATCACAGAGGAAGTTCATGGCATCGCCAGAGTTAGAGCCAGCACTGTGGCTCTCTCTGTCACACCTCCCAGATCATCCAGTCCAACCCCTCCATTCCCAGATGAGGGCTTTGAGGCCAACAAAGAGTGTTACAAAGCTGATAAGTGAAAGGTCGAGGATGAGCCCGCATCCTCACGGTTTAATTCCTTTGCTCTTTCTACTATACCACTCTGTTTTTTCTTATGCCCTGAGTATGAGCTTCCAGGAAGGAGATCAATGGTTCCTCTGGATTCTGCCCTAGTCAGATAGTATCTGGAGTATTGTGTTCATTTTGGGGTATAACAGTTTAAGAAGGACATTTATTTAAGTGGAGCATGTCCAGAGAAGACAGCCAAGAAAGTGAAGTATCACAAATTCATGTCCTGTGAGGATCTATTAAAGGAATTGGAGATGTTTAACCTGGAGAAGAGACTCAGGAAGGAGAGGAGAGCTAACTTCAAGTTTGTCAAATCTACAAGCATTTATAAAGTACCTACTAAGTGCCATGTTCTGTGCTAAATGTTAGAGATAGAAAATAGGTGAAAAGTCCCTGCTCTCAAGGAGCTCATAGTCTAATGGGACTATGCCGACTGCTGTGTGCAAACAAGATATAGACAAACAAATTGTGAGGTAATTAATAGAAGACATTAGCTTTAAGGAGGCTCAGGAAAGGCTCCTTGTAGAATTTAGAACTTCAAGCTGAGATTTGAAGAAAGCTAGGGAAGCTAGGAGGCAGAGAGGAGGAGGGAGAGCCTTTCAAGCATGGGGTCAGCCAATGAAAGTGGCTAGAGTTTGGGAGATGGAGTGTCCTTTATGAGGAAAAGAAGGAAGTCAGTGTCAGTAGATTGTAGCATATGGAGAGGGGGAATATCAAGTGTGAAGACAACTGGAAAGGTAGGAGGGGGCCAGGTTATGGAAGGCTTTAAAAGCCAAACAAAAGATTTTATATTTGATCCTGGAGATGATAGCTACTGAAGTTGATTGAATTTCGGGGTGTCATGGTCAGATTTGTGCTTTAGGAAGATCAGTTTGACAGCTAAGTGGAGGACAGACTAAAGTGGGCAGAAACTTAGGATGGGGAGACCAACCAGCAAACTATCGCAGTGATCTAGGAGCAGGGTGATGATGCCCTGACCCAGCAGTGGTAGTACTAGAGAAGAAAAGCGGACATATTCAAGAGATGTTGTAAAGGGAGCAATGACAGGACTTGGCAAATGATTGGATATGTAGAGCGAAAGAGTGAGGAGTCAAGAGTGACCCCTGGTTTGAGAGTCTGGGTGACAGGGATGGTGGTGGAACCCTTGAATGTAGTAGGGAAATTAGGAAGAGGGGAGAGTTTGAGGGGAAAGAAAAATATATGGATTCAGTTCTGGACATGTTAAGTTTAAGATTAGCC